ATTTCAGGAAAGATCCAGTGTAACTTATACAAATACATACACTAGAGCAAGATAAAATGGCATATTAACACGAGAAAGACAGAAATGGGACAAAGGAAAACTGAGTGTACGGAAGATAAGCTGTCCTGGGAGGGAAATGCAGGTCGAAAATTAATGTTCCCTGTAAAATTCTGCACATTTGCTACTGGTAGGCCAGAGTTTTGGTTCTACCACTTCTAGCAGCCAACATTTATTGGCTAAATACAAAATGATCCACTCAGTTACATGATTCAGTATCCTTAAGATAAAAACAAAAAGCTCTCCCTTGGTCCTCATAAAGAGAATGTATAACTTAACAAAAGAGTCCTGAGCCATATCCTTGCATTTGATTTGCCAGAGAGCTTTGGAAGACCATCCCTCATAACAACCTTCACTGGCAAATGAGAGCACGCAAGTGATGGAGAGGAAGGTGACCACACCAAGGGGTCCCAGTGCACAGCTCCCTGCAGGTCTGAGTTTATCAGAAACAGATTTTATTCTATTTAGACGAACCTAAAATCCAGAGGCATCCACTTATCTTTGAAAGTATAAACAAAATTTGACCCACATGGCCCTTTTTCTGGGGGTATGTCTGTAGTTTCACCACATTCTCAAGGAGAAGCATGACTCGAGAAACGTTAAGAACCACTGATCTAAAGAACTAGACTATACAGATCCTTCAGGCAACCCTTCATAAACAGCTTCTCTTCTGAGCTTCTAAGAAGTGCTGCGCCTCTAGACCGTAGCCCCAGACAAGGCATCTGAAGTACGGCTTCCCTCTGATGTGAAGTGTGGAACTCTAAGCTTCACCACCAGCCACATTGTTTTCCAGCTGTGTAATACAATACTATATGAGCTTTTTATACAGTAACGCCTATAAACATATGGAATACATAACAATCTGTTCTTCTAGATAGGTTTCAGCCATGAACAGTGACAATGTTGCTTCAAAGAATTGGTGATATTTCTTTAAATAATAAAAAAGTAAAAATAAAACAAAAACCCACCTTGGCCTGTGAATAAAAATCACAGGTAAGCATAAAAAAATTTTTCATAGATAAATATATGTTTTAATAAAATTAACTTTCCACCTCAGTTGACACACTCTGAGCTTTTTTAAACCTCTTTATTGTTTTAATCTTTTGTTATACAGCAAAACAAGCACTATCATAGCTTTACGCGCACACACACACATGCAGTTAACCATCTATCCATAATATTGGGGTTACAGTGTCTCAAGATCCCAAGGGCATCCAATGAGAAAGCTGGCCTTCAGGCCATCAACATAAGGCTCTTTAAGATCTCATCCATTCAGAATTCACTGCCATCCAGAGTCTGCTCCTTGGCATAATAAGGCCAGAGATGTCTGTCAAAAACGCAGTTGAACAGACTCAAAAGAACTAACTCATGCGAACCCACCTCATAAGAAATTGATGTACAAATCAGAACACCAACTTATTCATTAATCATAGTGAATATTCTTTTTCACAAATCAGAAAATTTGCACCTGAAGCCAGGGTGCTGCTTTCCCAATGCTAAGATACCTGGAATCCTGATTAAATAGTCATTCACCAGAAGTTAGAATAAAGGGAGACAGAGTTTGGGGGATAGCTAATGAATTATATATATCCAACATACACCTTTCTAGTGATCGAAATTGTGGCTTTCACATGTATAGCCTCTTTTCACTTGGAATGTTGTCGCCCTAACACTGCAGACTTCTGGGTCTCTAAGCTTCCTTCTTCCATACCCTTCTCTCCATGGGTGTCCCTCCGACACCAATAGGGTATAACGCAGTTGATGAGGGTACAGCTTATAAGCACTATCATTCTTTTTCAGATTAAAAACTCCCAGATGAAGCTGCTGAAGCAACTTGCCCAAGGTCACAAGTCATATTAGGCTGAGCAGAGATTCAAAGCTAGATGTCAAGCCAAAACCTAGGCTCTTAACCTTGCAGTAAATGATGCCTTCAAGGCATCCTTCCTGGACCTCCCACCTCCAAGCCTGATTTAAATGCCCCTCCTCAGTGTTTCCCTATCACCCGAAGCATAGCATGACTATAGGTCAATCTCTGGCACTACACTGAAACGTTCTGAGGATGAGAGTCCGGCCTCATTCACCTGCTTGGTATCCCGAGTGTGCTATCTGCCTTTCTGGATAAATATACAAACTAATTTGTGCAGTGGTTTAATATAAAAATCACCAAACTGAATGCCTTAAACTAGCCATGCGGCCTTAGGAAGATCACAACTTCTCCAGCCATCTACAAATATCTCATCTAAAAGTAGAATGAAATGGACATGCAAGTTGGCTTAGGTCCCTTCTGGATCTAAAAAGCACTACCATTGGAGATGGGCCCTGGTTTTTTTTATAGCCTATCTTATTAGTTCAAATTATTAGAAATAAAATTAAACTCCCCAGTTGTCTTCTGTAGCACTCTGCAGACAGGATATACACGAGTTCAGAAAAAAGAGTTCAGAAAAAGCTACCTCTTTGCTACAAGAAGATAAGTCTACCCTAAAATCAAACAGTGGCACCCTCCTCTGGTGAATGTTAAAGGAGCTAAACAACACAAAAGACAACATTTACATGGTGGGATTTTCTTTGAATGAAAGAAAATGCAAGAGAGAAATTATCTATTATTTAAATTATAAATAACCCGTTTTTTATAACTCCTTATTTTGCCCCAAAACAATGCCAAAATGATGAACTGGCTACATACAGTAGGAAGTTACAGATAAAACAATTTTTAAGAGGGCTGGTAATATTATTTTACAAACAGCAGGCTTTTTAACATAAGGCACAATAGAAAGCATTTTGTAGATTTGCTAACAATAATAGTCTTTTCTATTATTTAAAAATTTAATGAAAAGCCTTGTGCATGTAAAATACTGCTGGCTAAATAAAAGCATTTATCAAGACATACACAGAGGGAAGACAAACTAAAGAGATACAGGCAGAAGATTGTCATCTACAAGCCAAAATTAAAATTTAAAAAATAATTAATTAATTAAAAGCATTTGTCCAGTCCTTTTTCTGGATTTTCAGTCCATTTACCAGAAGCCAGTACTGGAAATTTTTCAACCTGAAATCTCGTTGGGACTGCAACTTTCAGGTTTTAAAATATCCACTTAAAAGCAAATTTACACATGCAGAATAAAACATGACAATACAGCACACCAGACAAGTATAAGCCAAAGTTTCACAACATTAACATTACATCAAGACCTCTAAATCAAAAACAAAGCTGTGCTTTCTAAGATCAAGAGCAAATTATCATCTGCCAACAACTTTAACATTAAAATTTATAATAAATATAAGCTTTATAAATGAGTTATAACAGTGTATAAATAAAATGAAGATACAAGCATTCTGAGTCATGGCAAGAAAACAAATCAGTCATTCTACTGGCAGCGATGTCATTCAGGTACGTTTTTACCCAAATACACACATCTCTTCCCTCAATTAACTTCACATCTTTCATCCACCCTGTGACCAAGGGGAAAGGAACCCACACTACACAGGAAGTTACAAATTCACAACCACTGAGAAACCTTCACTTTGAAAGGCACAACATAGAAAGGGTGAGAGTGAACGGGAAACAGCAAAAACTGATTTCAGGTCTACCAAATAGATTTTCCAACTAAGTTTGTCATTCCTAGCAAAGTTGGTTCTACAAGGCAGGAAGATACAGTATCTTGAAAAGATCAGCAGAGTAGTAGGTGAAATGGCTTTGTATCAAAGACAGAAGGCAAATAACTAACTGAAAGCTTTCTCAGTAGTCACCCAAAACAAATGCCAAAAAACATGCAAAGATGAAAAAGAATGACCTCACCTACAGCCCACCCAGAGACCAGAAGGGCCAAAAAGAGAGCTGGGGGAAAGCTGGATGGGAGCATGGACTGTGAGGGCAGGGGGAATGATGGAGGGGTGGCGAAGGAGGCAAGAAAGATGTAAGAAATTATGCTGCCAAAAAAAAGAGTATGCAACAATGAAATTATGTTACAAACTGCCAAATTGAGAAAGATGGGGTAGCTGGCCCGATGCTCTTTGGAGCCACATTTGCCACTCACTTCTCCTGGGTCGATGCCCAAGGACCAAAGCCAATCCTCCCCGGACCTCCAGGAAATCTGAGCCCCAGCACGCAATCAGGGTGCCGCAGAAAGGAGGGAGATGGACCTCAACTGGCCCTCTAACCTCATCACATGAACCCCAAATGACGGAATTTAGAATCCGGGAGACGTCTGTGCCCCACTCCGGCCAGGGCTCAGGGGGAGATCTGGGCATCACAGCCTCTGCGGGCATCACCACCTCTGCAAAGGCCACAGGCATCTCGGGTCCCGCGAGGCGATCCTGCTAAATGCAGGCGGCCAGAGAGGCGCTGCTGTCAACCGGCCCGATTGCACTTGTAAAGTTAATGGAGTTGGCAAGAAGCGCGGGGCTGTCCCCCTGACTCCTCCTTAGGGCGAAGGCGATGGGAAGGAGTCACAGCTTCCTTCTTCCTCACTGGGCTCTCTCTCACTAATTCGGTTCTGCATTTTGCATCTCTTTTCCCTAATGAGAATCAAAAAAAATTTTTTGCCTTCTTTGTGCCTACCTTGGTCTCAAACCCCTAGAACAGGGGCGCTGAGATCCCGGGCCAAAGTTCAGCATAGAAACCATTAAACTCTCCCCGCAAAACTAGCACAGTCATTTGCTGGGTTCAGGCCTTGAGAAACATCGTAAATGATGAAGCACGAAATAAGCTATGGATGATCCTCCCTTCCCCAAAACGGACCCTCAGTCCTGAGAAGTCTGGATCCAGCAGTGTTTTTGGGGGGTGGGAGGGGACGGGCAACTTGGAACTAGTGCCTTTGCCCAGCCCGGCACTAGGTCAACACCACGCCCCTCACACCCAAGTCGTACACCTCCACCCACCCCCACCCCGCCCAAGGCACACAACGTCCTGTTCGCTCACAAAGACTCACACACACAACTCCTACCTCGCCCCCGTGTCCGTCGAAGATACCGAAGATGGATGGGTGCGTCTTGTTGGCTAGGTCCGTAAGAACTTCGAACCGGTCCTCCATGTGGTCTCTCCGGCCCTGGATGGAATACACGGCCACGTTGTGGCTCTTGAACTCCCAGGTCTTGGAAAACTCGGCCTCCAGGACGTCGAGCCCCCCGAGCCGGTCATTCTGCATGATCTCGGCGACCTTGCCCTTCACCATCTTCACAGCGTCCCGGCTAGATTTGACGATGGTCTTCACCTCGTCAGTGTGGAAGAAGTAACTCCATAGCGCCAAGCTGATACACAGCAGGAAGAGCGTCTCGGGTCTCAGCAAGAAGTAGCGCATGATGCGACCCAGCAGAGACAGCAAAGTCATTGTATCCTCTATCATTTATTATGGCTAGAGCCCCAACCACCAGCAGCTACGCGCGCCCCGAAGGCTTCTCGGGTCCCGGAGCACTGCGGGGACAGTCCGCGGGAAGGGAGGCGGAGCAGCAGCGGAGGGTGGGGGAAGGAGGATCGCTGAGCCGGGCGGGAGACGGCTGAGCTCGCTGCTCTGATCCGGCACGGCGAACAGAGGCAGTTTTCCTTTTGTCTCCCGGCCTCCCGACCCCGAGGCCCGTGCCCTGCGCACCGGCGCCTATGCCGGCCACCCACGCCGCCTCCCCTCCCTTGCGCCTCTTTGTGAGGCGGCGGCGGCCGAGACGGCAGCGGTGGCAGCAGCAGCAGCCGCCTGTATCCGGGCTGGGTGAGAGGAATCAAGTTAAAGTTGTGCCGGGCGAGTCTGCCACGGTGGGCGGGAGAATTCGGGGGCGCCGGCGCCCGCGCGGCCCCTTCGTGGGTTCCCCCTCACTGCTCCGGGGTGCGATCACCAGGTGAGGAGGCGCGGGGCTCGTGAGCTCGGCAGGATGCAGGTCCCCGCGGTCGCCGCCGCAGCAGGGGATAGCGGAGCCGGCCGATTGCTCCGATTCCTTCAGACACACCGGGGAGCCCAAGAGAATAAAGTTTTGCGGGAGCCTGAACAGAGGTGGAGGTACTCTGAGCCCAGCGACGCAGCGGGACCGGCGCTGAGCCGCAGGCAGCCGGCCCGGCTCTGCCTGTCTCGCCCCAGCACCTCCCAGTTCAGCTCGGCTCCGCTCGCGCGCTCTCTCCAAGCCTCCCAGCTCGCGCTCGCACCGCCCCGCCCCGCATGCGCTCGCCCCGCCCCGGGACCGAGGGCAGAGGGGTGCGGGCGGAGCTGTCAAAGGCTGGGGACGCACAGCGGCGGCTGGCGGGCTTGCAACCTAGGGCGGTCACGGCGAACGGAAGGGGAAGAAAGGGGGCGCGTCCGTTGCCTAGCTAGAGTGGACGGCTGTTCCTCCCTCCAGTGCGCGCTCCCAGAACAATGTAAGCCTGACTCTGGTTGAGTGAACGTTGGTTTCCCGGGAGCCACTGCTGCGGGCTGGAAAGCAGAAAGCCGCACGTGAGCATACCCCCCTCCGCCTGACGGCACAATAGTGCGGTCCTCACCTCGCCAGGCTTAAGGCAAGCGAGAAGGGACCCACTTGTCCTGGCTCGCAAACGGGGCGGAGGGTAGCGGACCTTTAGTGCTGTGTGACAGAGGCCTGTCCGGAGCACCCGAGAAGGGAAGAGGATCCTGCGGCCTTCTCCAGACGAGAGAAGACCCTCCGGAGAACGCAGGATGTGAAGACTCGGAGTCTCACGTGGAAATGCGTCCCGAAGATAACCGTGGGAGGGGCGACAGTGCGCTGGCCTCTCTGCGAGCCGCCGGCGTCCCGAGAGCGGGGGACGTGGCTGCGAGGGCCTTACCAAGTTACAACCCTTCCACGGAGAGACACCTAAGGGAGCCACGGGGCGAGAGCTCTGACTCTGCTGTTCGGGTTTGAAGGTCCCTTTGAAGCTCTGAATTAGCGGCCTCCTACCACTTCCTTATCTTCGCAGAAGATGAAGGGCGAGTCTTTCAATCAGCAGAAGTGAGCGGCCTCGGAGAACAGAAGCCATCAGGATAACTTGTTGAAATATGGGCGGGTGTCAGGGGCCTCGAAGATGTTGGGGAAAGAAGAGAACAATGTGCAAATCAGCTTAGAATACTAAAACAAGTGAGCTTTAAAGCAAGATTCATTCTCATTACCCCTGTCCAGAGAGAAGAGTGCTGATTTGCGGCTTCCGGTCCGCTAGACTGGCGAATACAGGCTGCCCGAGCACGCCTGCCTTGGTATGACCCCGACTACGTTTTAAAAAAATAAAAAAGAGTAAAATACTGGAAGGAAATACACCCAAATGTCCGTGATGGTTAACTACCGTAGTCAATTATATGTGGTTTTCATTTTCTGCTTTGGACTTTTGTCTGTTTTCTACAACCTTTTCAAAGTTTTTACAAAAGACATAGATTGCCATTATAACCAGAAAAACAGAAAAAAGAACACTTTGACATTTAAATGGCATATACAATATGATCTCAATTACATAAACATGCATATAAAAACAGGAAGAAAATATGAAGAACAGCTAACAGTATGCTATTTTTGACAACTAAGGATCCTGTTCTGCTTTGCACTTTTCAGTATTTTGCACCTGATAGAGAAACAGTTTTAAAGTAAATTAGGTCGTTCTTCCCAAAACTCATAAGTCATGACGTTCAAAAATTAGATATTGGGCTCAAAAGCCTTTAGGAACTATAAAGCAAACAATGTATCAGTGTTATTATGAAGGTGAGTTTAAGGTGTTTCTTACTGTAATTTAGCAAATGGCTTTTGAGTGCATTGTCAGCCTCTCTACATGAATCTTTTTTGTCTATGGCAAGAACAACTTGCAGATAACCTGATCGAGATTCCAGAACTGCAAGTCAAACTAGCCCCTGGAACAGAAGTATAATGCCAAACCTAGAGACCCAGTCAGCCCGTCCACAATATTATTGTGCTGATGATAACAGCAGCTAGTCTTGAGAGGCAGGATTTCCATTTCCACAAGACCTATATAAAAAAGAGAAAAGACCTTACTGGTCTCTGGAGGTTCAATAGCAAAAGGAGGGCTTGACTTGGTTAATAAATCTAGATATCCTAAGGATGCTGTGGAGATATTCTTTGATATTTACATCTAAGTAGTTCATTTGTATGAAAATCAATAGAATGATTTTTTTAGCAGAACCTGTAGGCATTTGCTTATTTCTATTAAGAAATTCATGTAATTTGCATAGTAATTTTAATGACCTAAATAAGTTTTTGGTATAGTTCACTGTGAATTTTAATATATTTGAGAAATAAAAAGACCTTACTCTAATTACAAACTGACATTTGCATATTCCTTCATATTATAACAACTTATTTCCATGTATATCAACTTACTTCCATTCTCATGATGAGCCTACGAGCAGCATAGAGCAGCTATTGTCTCTGTTTTTAAATATGAGGGCATTAAGGCACAAAGATATTAAATGAGTATCACAATTCAGCAAACAAGTTGGGAACTCAAGCTCAGTTCTGACCACCAATTCAGGACTCTGTCACCCACCCATTGCCAGCTGGTACTGAGATGTTCATTTTTTATACCTCTGGAGTACTAACTTTTCAGTAGATTTCTGTTACATCTCAAAAAAGAATACAAGAGATATTCCACAATTCTGACTTTAGCCTTTGGGACAAGCACTATGTATATTTATCTCACCCACTGAGAATATTTGTGAGGCAGAAGACAAGTACAAGTTAACTGTCCTTCATCTCTACATAAAAGCCTAAAATATTTGTTGCTAAAGTAAAAGAGTATCTGAATTTCACAGGGAAGAAAAGAGCACTGTAGAATGTATGTTATGTAAATACTTTACCATTACAAGTGATATGGTAATGAACAGAGAGCTAATTGCCCTAGGTTTTCATGAGATATAATAATAGTTACCAGGTAATTAACCATTTTCAGTTATGCAATTAACTCACACCAGCCTTGCAAGTATATAAAGAACATAAAATATAGCTTTTAAAAATAAATTCTCGAAGAAACTTTCGGAATTGTAACTTCTAGGTTCAAGAAATCTTTAAAACAGACTTTGATAACAAATCTATTTTCAAGTATAATGTTGTCTCATGATGTCCTCATTTTTTTCACTTTTTTCAAAGTTGTAAAACTCAAATGTAAAGTGACTTATCAGCTGCAACTCTTGATGAATATAATAAAAATCCCCTCAAATAAATTTTATATAAGACTTTTACACATATAGAAATTCTATGCACATTTTTAAATTTCCCAATTATCAGTTTAATTTATATTCTTAAGTAATTCCTGCCCTCTGCATATAAATATGTACAGAGTATTGAGTATGACTCTTTTATGAATATTTCATACATATTATATACTCCTTGCATGTGTATAACCTTTAAAACTATAGCACAAAAGAGTGTATCAGTATTTTTAGGAAGCACAACAACCCTAAGCACTACACTCATGAACCCCCTATCCAACCTAAACACCGGGCTGTGACCAATCTTTGTACCAGCCTAAGAATTCTTTTGCCATCCCACCTCCCTGCCTATACTCCACAGGTAGCTCTATCCTGAATTCTATGTTCTACCTTTTCCTTGTCCAAAAAAGCACTGTCATCATGTGTCTACATCATTAGGTTTTTGGTTGGCAAAAAAATTCATTTGTTTTTTTCTGTAAGATGGCTCTAGTAGCACTTAGTTGTCTTTAACTTCGGTCAAAACAATTTGGTTAGATTAGACTGTACTGTGATGGCTCATATCAGTGTGCATTTAACAAAACATCAGAATTGGTGAATTTTTGTGTACCATGTTAATATTAAAGACAGAAGAAAATACACATTTTCAGCATATTATGCTTTATTATTTCAAGAAAGGTAAAAACCCAACTGAGATCCAAAAAAAGGTTCCTGTGGTGTATAGAGATGATGATGTGACTGATCAAATACGAACATGTAAAAAGTGGTTTGCAGAGTTTCATGCTGGAGATTTTTCACTGGACAATGCTCCAAGGTCGAACACACCAGTTGAAGTTAATAGCAATAAAATCAAGACTTTGAGAACAATCCATGTTACACCTAGCAGGAGATAGTCAACAGAATCAAAATATCCAAATCAATAGGGTTATTGGCAAAAATGAAAACTGTGTCTTTTATTTTAGGAAGAAAAACTAAATGGACTTCTTTGACCAACCCAATATTTTTTTTATTTTGCTTGGTTGTGAGCTTTATAAAAAAGGATGTCTTATTTTATATAGTTCTCTGCTCCTTGTTTTTTCACTCAATATTATAATAAGTGACATATTTCTAGATCCTCTTATATTGTTACATATAATTCAGTCCTTTTCACTGCTGTATAATATCCTATGTATCACTGTTCCATATGCATTTATCTTCCCTCTATGGACAGTTATGCCAATTTTTGCTATTATGATCAGTGACTTAGTGAATTATTTTCGTTCTATCTCTTGGTGCATATACACAAAAATTTCCCTAGAGTATATATGCAGGAGTGAAATTACTATGTATTTGAGAATAAAAATATTTAATGTTACAATTATGGCGAAATGGTTTTTTGAAAATACATTGTTCCCATTATACTCCCAAAGTGTGATCAAAGCACCTTGATATAAGAGACCATTACTATAAATTTTATCTTAAAAGTGATTTTCAGTATGGGTTCTTTTGCTAAATGGTTAACCATGAGCATGACTATTAAACCACATTAAATCTTGAGTGCTTCTCATAAAGTATTTTGAGAAGTAAAAATTTTTAATGTTATTTATTTATTTTTAGAGGGTGGGGAAGAGAGGGAGAAAGACAGGGAGAGAAACATTAACATGGGGTTGCCTCTCACACGCCCTCTACTGGGGACCTGGCCCACAACCCAGGCATGTGTCCTGACAGGGAATTGAATTGGCAACCCTTCGGTTTGCAGGCTGGCATTCAATCCACTGAGCCACACCAGCCAGGGCATTTTTCCAGATAAAATTTAATAATAAATCTTCTCTTTTAAATACTCCTTAAATGCAAGTGAATCTTTTAGCCATTAAGGTAAGAAAAGTAATTAATCATTTTATGTGATAGTGTATCAGCCTACTTTCTAATTTTACCATCCTAGGTGTTGTGGCAAATGGAGAACTAATGTGACAAATACCAGTCACGTAATGGTATAATATGATTTCATTTTACTGGACTCCAAAACAACAAAGTCCTTTCCTAACAATTCAAGTTTTTATATAAATTACAAAGATATATCAAGAATACCTTTTTCTGAATAAAATTTTTATACCGTTGCACCAATTCTGTTTACATAAACCACACTTACCCTAAGAATCCTTCATCTAAGCGCCCTAGGCTTCTCTCTGATAATTCTCAAACAAGCTTCCTAAATTATAATATTAATCTAAAGCACTACCTAAATTGCTTTATTTTAATTAACACACATCAACATTCTAATTCATAATATGATGCATTGTGAATAGTTGAATAACCGTTTTGTAATGAATCTGATGCTGACAAGAAATAACATGGGTGAAATAAAATTTTGTTTCTCTCCCTATAGGAAGCAGTGATTTTTTTTTCCTTTAGAGCTATTCAAAAAGGAAAAAAATGACAGCCTGGAAAATACAACTAATATTTGGTAGTCTGGCAGAACAGTAAGAACAGGGTCCTTGAGAAGTTGGGAGTTAGCCCACACCTGATATCCATTTGTATAATACCAAGATAGGCCAATGGTAATATTTCATTCTCATACCCAAATTCTTCTGGTGACTTCTCTGAGTGCCCTGAGAATAATTTGGATTCCCTTCTGTTTCCCTGTGCTCTCCAAATTGTTTCTGTTGGAAACATTTGTTTCCTGTTGGGGGAACTGTAGAAAGACTAAATTAGAGAATCTGAGTAATCTGAAGATAAGATTATTTCACGAAACCTTTCTGGTTTTTATCCTCTTGGTGGAATGCCTGGTAAGTCTAACACAAAGTCATGCAGGATATAATTTTGGGATTGATTTCTATGTATGATGCTTCAGGTAAAGATTGTTATGTTGAGATAATTACATGATCTGAGAAAATACAGAGGTAAAGGCAGGACACATGTAGCATTTGCATTGCACTTGGACTTCCTCTTTCCCAGCTCTTAAACTGCCTCAGGAATCACCAACATTTATTCATTGCTATCTGGGCCCAAGTTGCCTATAATTTTGTACTCTGTGGCCACAACCCTTAGTTTACTACCACATTGCAGACCCCCATGTCTGTCCTAGGTATGGAGAACATTCTTTGGACCATGTGTGGCCCTG